CTGTTTGTGCTGGATTATGAACTGCTGATTTCTCTGACCCTGAGATTACAGATCAGTTTGAATTTATGAGCTTTATTAGGAAGGAAGGCAGTAAAAGAATGTTTTACGGTAATATGTATGAGTCATACTTGTGAAGGAGAAGTCAATACTTCCCTCATTGAATTTGTGAAAAGACGGTCTAGTTGTACATCCGCTTCGTTTTTTCTGAAATGTTCTTGCTGACATACTGTAAATGAAAGGTCCTTGTCTGTGGTCGCTTTATCTTAAAGTGAGGGGGTCAGTACGGATTGACTACATGACAGGCCACTCTGCCACTCTGCGCTAGTGGCAGCCACTGGCCAGCAGTCTCTCACACAGCTATCCTCTCAGCTTTCACCTCCTCATTTGGTCTTGCATGATCTTGCCTGATCAACTGTCCAGATACATATTAAGCAGCTGTTCACTTATGTTGTTGGCCAGTTGGCTCAGCTGGTTGATCCATGACACTTATGGCTTCTACATTGGAGTCATGAAATAAGTTACTTATTGCGAGTGAGCACTGTTGTGTAAGTGGTTTATCAGGGCCTCTGTTAGTAATTAAGAGGGTAAGATTAAAATTTGCCAATATTATCAAGCCAATGTAATACTGAACGGTAAACAACTTAAAGAACTAATCCAAATCTGAGAAAGAGGGTACAAGGCAGCATGATCACTAACTGATTTTTGGAATAGTTAAAAACCACAAAGGTACGATGGTTTTCTTTGAAAAGTTCAAATATTACTTAAATTTCATTTTCTTTTTCATGTCATATTCTTTTTTGTGAGGACACAATGGTATAGTTCCAATACTATTTAACTGAGAACGTTCTCCTATTATTATTAAACAATCCTCTCTATCTGTTAAAACAATCCAAAGATAACTACCAAGAAGCTTATTTAGATTACAACCAGTCACACTATGAGTCTGTAGGGTAAGGCCAGGGCTGTGTTCAAAAGCCTAGGCAAAGAATGTCAATATATCTGAGAGCTGATGACAGTGTTTTATAGAAACCACAACATTGTGTCAGGGCTGGTATGCTATGGGCAGTAACAAAGCAAGCACACGAGACATCTGAAACTGGTAAAATGTTCACTAGTACATCTGTAGACGTAATCAAAAAGGGAATTAAAGTAATTCATGCAAGGAATCATGCTTCCATTTACATGTTCAATTGAAGACAGATTTACTAGCTGGAAGATCATATTTATGTATGTTTTTTAATTTGGTGAAAAAATATGGTGGATAGGCTGTTTTGTTTTTGAGTGATTGCAAAGAGGATGCTTTTAATAGAACGCTTGCTGACAAATGAAATTGTGTGGTAAATTGTTTTGATAAATACACATAATGGGGAGCCAAACGCAATAACATAATAGTCTTGTAATTAACATCGTAGTTGTGTAATGGTAAGAAAGCAGCACTGGAAATCTACTTATATAAATGTTCCTCGTCGTTATATGAAAAATCTGTTAAAGCAATTTTTCTGCCTGAGCTGCAATGCTTTTTTGTAATCTGTAAATGTCTGTATATATTTATATTTATCTTCTGTAGCTCAGCCGGCAAAACCTTTGTTGAGCGACGCAGGAGACCCAGGTTCAAGCCCATGTGGTGAAGAATGAACTGGGACAGGAACAGCAAGAGCACAAGCCCAAGAACCTGAATTAATTACAGTATTGGGGGCAGAGTGGTGGCACTGTGGCTAAGGATCTGCACCTGTGCCTGGGAGGTTGCCGGTTCAAATCCTGCGGCTGGCAGAAAAAACCCACTCTATTGGGCCCCTGAGCAAGGCCCTTAACCCCAGCTACTACAGGGGTACTGTATAAATGGTTGACACTGTGCGCTGACCCCAAGCTTTTCTCCCTGTCTGTGTCTCATGGAGAGCAAGTTGGGGTATGTGAAAAGTACAGAGGTACTGTATAAATGCCTGACACTGTGCTCTGACCCCAAGCTTCTCTTCCTTTCTGTGTGTCTTTTGGAGAGCAAGTTGGGGTATGTGAAAAGACCAATTCCTAATGCAAGAAATTGTATATGGCCAATAATGTGATCTCATCTTATATAATCAGGAACAAATAAAACAAAAAGACATTTGTGAAGACAAAATTAAAAATCAGTCATGACAGATGGATGGGATGGTGGCCAAACATGAGGTAATGTTATGTATATTTTGCTTTTCTTGGTACTTTAATCAAATATTTGGCTAAACCACAGAACACAAAATGTTCTTGATTGGTTTTCATGATTGTACAATTACTTCCCATTTTTTAAATGAAAGCTGTAATGTTGTTTGATGGGGATTTGCTATGTTTACTAAGTGTACACACGCAAAGTAAGGGAGATAATGCAATAAAAATGTGAGTTGATGAGAGTACAGAGATGTAGTAATTTACTTATTAAAATAAATTGCATCCTTAATGGGGATTTAGGTGCCAGTACTTAAGCTTTTTAAGGTCAACGAAAACCCACAAAAGTGAACAAGGCATGTATTAATGTTTAGATTACAGTTCACCCCTAAAACAAACTAGTTGCCAAGGTTTTTAAAACTGGAGGATTAATGGAGGGCAGCATGGTGGCACAGTGTTTAGCATTCCAGCCTTGTAGCACTAGAGTCCTGGGTTCAATTCTGGACTTGGGGTGCTATCTGTGTGGTGTTTGCAAGTTCTCTTAGTGTTTGTGTGGGTTTCTTCCGGGTGCTCTGGTTTCCTATACAGTCCAAAGACATATTGGTGGGATAAATAGCTAAATAGCTATGAAAATTGACCCGGGTATGAGTGTGTGTGTGTGTGTCTGTCTTTATTCTGTCTGCCCAGTAATGACCTGGTGTCCCATCCAGGTGGTATCCTGGCTTGTACCCATTGCTCCCACAGTCCCTGAATTTGGTGAAGCAGTTAGAAAATGGATAGATGGAAGGATGAATTGATGAAGACACTGGGAAAATAATTAGAAGGAATAGAACACACTAAAACTGATATAAAAGTGCCAAGATTAGAAGATGGAGAAAGAGTACACAGGCACAGCTGAAGATGTTAGAAAGGAAGAGAGACTATAGTCTCTAGGAAATTTCAATTCTTAGGATAGGAGCTGTACCAACAGATTGACGACATAAAAACAAAAACAAAATGTGGAACATAGCAGATCAAGGAAACAACGCACGAATCTGTCTACCTTTGCTGGTCAACAGGTATTGAGAATAGGAACACCTTGTTTAACTTGCTAGAAGTTTTCAAATAAGCAATAAGCTGATAACACCATAACAGTGAGTCTTCATCAGGGAGACCCTACATCTTCTTTTTTTTGTTTCAACTGAGTTTTCATCACCTTTATTATTTTAATAATGAATTTATTTTTTTTCCATCTGAAATATATTTGAACCTGTCAGTTCTTAAAACACAGAGTTGGATTTGTAATCAGTACCACCCTTGAACCAGTTTTCGAAATTTCAGAACACCCTTCATTTAGGTGTGCTTTCCTGAAATATTTGTCCATCTGCATCTCAGTTAGAAGAAAAAAATGGCCTTTGAAGGAATGTTTCTTACACACTCATTCCATATGTCTGTTCATCATTTTCTCATCACCTATGAGGAGCCAAAAATAAGGAAACAAGCAGTTGATTGTATACTGTAATTGTGAACAGATAATGCCAGAATTGTATATAAAAAATGTTTAAGATTGTCTGGAATTCATCTTCATCTTAAAGATCAGCTGAGATAACAGCACAAGCTGTGGCTGAAATTCAAAGCCTGCCATTACATGCTCATATGCAAGATGTGGTTGCACTTTTTTGCTAAATGACAAAACCTGTTCTTTACCCAAAGACAGCATTAATGTTCCTCCTCTGCCTGTTCAACCCAACAACTCTTTGTAGCAGGGGGTTTCCATACCATGTCATTCACAATCCAATAGGACTTTTGCTCCAGACACCATTTTTAGGGCAAAAAACTGATCAATGCCTTATAGCAGTGGTGTACAGGCTTCATATTCTAAAGGGTAAAACTAATGCCATGTTTTAGTATTTACAAATGTTAAACTAAAGCTAAGTTGTGTGATTTCACATAGTAACTGTTATAGCAATCCATGAAAACGCATATATGTATATGGGTTCTTAAATATAGAAACATTATCCCAGTTAGACTTAGAAGGTATAAGAAGGATATGGCAGGGATCATATATACTATATACATTGTCACTCATCCACCTGTTCACCTTACTGTCCAGTAGCATCCTTGAGAAAGTATTTTGCTGTATGGTATTCTTACATACCATCCGTTGGGATTTCTCAGCAGATTTTTTTTCTTCACAGCAACTACAAAGATGTCCCTGGATTTCTAGGTTCCTACCTATGGTTCCCATCAGAAAAGGGTCATCCATGCATTTTAAGGAACTACTGACAAATTGGCAATGACAGAAATACTGAATTTGTACAAAGGAGAGAATGAAGAATAAATAACAAATTTATTGTAAAACTTAGGATCAGGATGAGTTTTCCTAAGTTTTACAAGTGAAAACATTAAAAAGTTTGTATGCTCTCCCTACATTTGTGTGGGTTTCCTCTGGGAGCTCCAATTTTCTCCCACAGTTCGAAAACATAGCAATATGTTAACTGGCGTCTAGAAACATTGGCCTAGGTGTGAGTCTCTGCATGTCTGCCTGCAATGGTGTATCCTGCCTTGCAGCTGATGCTGGCCAGGATAGCCCTGACACCTCCTGTGACCCTGTATTGGAAGAAGTGGTTAGAAAATGAATGGATGCACACTGTGTTGAGAACTGTGTCGAGAATGCTACTGCGTAAGGAAGCTTTTGAGACATTCAAAATAAGCTGCTTTTTGAAAAGAAAAATTAGAGAACATTAGCAGAAAAATTGTTTAAAATAAAAGCCTGGAAAGTGTTCTGATAAATATTAAAATGTCATTTGCATGCCTTCACTTATAATTTCAAGAAAACTTCTAAATTATGAACAATTATCGAGAAACAAAACAGAACTCAGAAATCAGTTCTATTACAGTTTTTTATTGTTTCACATCCAACACTGTACACCACTCAAAACCTCTTCTACATTAAACTCATATTTTCTTCTAAACATCGAACACACCAAGTCCTTCTTCAAAATTCTCACCTTCCCTACATACAAGCTTACCATCATATTTTTTTTTTGCCAACTCATGATGACTTTTTTCTTATTAAGAGAAAAAATCACCACACACAGGTGTTAAACTATCTTGTAGCTCTAACAGTTACAGTACGAACCTAAGTTCATCTCAAATAACTTGTTCAAACATTACCTGCAACAATATATCCTTATAACTCTTTGCGTTTCCACTTCTCATACCTTCTACAACATACACGTTCCCCCTTCAACATTAAATATTTACATTACACCTTCATGTTCTTCAGTAGTCCAATGCTATAAACAGCATTTACATGCTTGCAGTAACAACCAAAAATCCTCATGCAAGATGCTATACTGGAGGGTTTATTCCATTTTTTAGCGAAACAAATGTCAGCTCAAAACCAACTTGGCTCAGTTTATATTTGTCATAAAAATACTATTCTTAAAACTCAATTACCAGTTTGGTACAAACTGGTGATTGTTTAAAAAAGCACTGTATTTAATTCAATGAATATAAACTATGGAAAACATATAATATTGGGCAAGATAACATCTGTACAATAAGGAATGCAAAAATGAGAAAATAGGATTGTTTCTTTACAAACTGCTTACCTTAGGATCAGATTAACTATTGACTATTTACAATGGCATTTCTTTACAAATCTACAACATATTTCTCTACAAATATTAGATAATTGGTATTGTTATAATGGCTGACATGATACTAAAACAGTGCTTATTTTAGTAAAAAAACAATAATTGTTTGGGCATATATAAAAACGTTTAAAAAGGAACAAAGTCGCTAAAATCAAAATTACCATAATGCCAATTCAGAATGGGAGTGTAGAGGCAAAAGGGAGTATCAACAAATTCTCTCAAACCATCTCCGAAAAAGGACGCTCAACCCTCTCGCATTCAGCTGTTAGACTTCTTTCTTCTGCAGTACAGCTGAATATATTGAACGTAGCTGCCATTAAGAAAATGAAATAAAAAGTATAAAACAGATGAACGTTAACGCTGTATTATACATAGAAAACAAATATTCATAAATACAGGTCCTTTTCAAGCCACGTTTTGGCTTATTTACACCAGCGTTTCCTTCCTTTTCCCTGACGAATGGAACCTCTCCTTTCTCGTTTTCCGCGCAGGCGGCGTCTTGTGAGCCGAGGCCTGGACGTTCTCGACGTCCTCCAGGGAGTCCTGAGCAGGAGCAGTGCCCGTGGCGTCTTCGTCCGCCTCCATGTGGACGACGCCGGAGAGGGTGGAGGACCGCCTCTTCATGGCCACGGGCCCCGGCAGAGGCGAGACCCCCTCCGGCTCCTCGCTGAGCAGCGGCAGCTCTCTGTCCCTCTGAGGGGACTGGGCAGGCTGCTGCGCCGCGATGGCGGTGCGGATGCAGTTAAGCCACTGCTGCTTGTGAAAGACGTCATTGACTTGCAGCGTGTGGGACTGGCCATGGGACGGGTCCGCAAATCGCACCCTGAAGATATTTTTAGCTGTAAAACAAAAGCAGCAAGTTTTAGTCAGTGCAGTAAACTAATCGTTGCACTGTAGAATATTAACATTTTCCTTATTGAATTATATCCTACATTCAGAGATTGATAGTCAGGTTATGTGTGAGAGGAACTTGTCTATACCCTGACCTGAAATTCAGCTTGATTTCACCCACCAAATTCTACACAGGACCTAATTCCTGTTTGAACACTGTAAACAGATATGGTAGGGAGGTGAAATAGCCTAAATTAAGAACGTGTATAATTAATTTGCATCTTAATTTTTAAACGTGTAAGCAAAGTCAATCTTTGAGTAACACAAAGGTACACTAACAATCCATTTATCTATATTTTACCACCGCAAAAAATGGCAAACAAATACTTATTTTGCACTTTCTGGGGTGGCAGAACCTCACTTGAGAAATAAGGGCAGATGCATCATAATCTGATTCCTCAGGGTACCATGTAATTGCGGTATAATGCATCCTAATTGTAACCGAGCTTTGTGGCAGGGTCTGGATTCTAGCTTTGAATGCATTCTTGAAAGGAAAATCATTCTTTGGACTGTAGAAAGCATATTAACGTTGAACTACAGCCCAAGTTCAGAGACTGAAGTAAACAAGGAGAGCTGTTTCAGAAAGGGGTGGGGCTCAGTGCAACACAAAGCATGGCGCTTCCCACCTTTGTCTGAGTTGCTGAAAGCTCCTCTGAAAGAGCCGCCCATCCTGACGTCCCCGTCCTGAAGGTCCTCCAGGACCAGGTCCCGCACCGGGATGGGCTGCCGGTACACTTGGTAACAGAGCCGTTCGTTCCTGGTCACAGGCCGCGTCAAAATCAGCAGCTCTTGGAACAAGAAGACGTACAGTTTCTAGAAAAAAAGACGGCACGTTATATAGGCATTATTTACTATTTAAACAAATTTAACACAATCACATACCAATATTACAATTTTCTCAAACAAATCTGAATTCACAATTCAAGAACAGTATACCCTTCATAAAACAGATGCCATTTTCAAAACTTCTGGCTTGTGTTTTTTCACAACGTGACTTTAGTTTCTGAAGAACAAGGAAAGCCTGGCAACTCACTGTTCCACTCTTGTTCCTCAGCTCTCCGTGGCACAGCAAAGTCCTGCATTTCTCAATGTGAGGATCCCTCTGCTTGTCATCCAGGTACTCCAGCTTGTCAATGTAATACTGGCATTCAGATTCTCCCTTCTTGATGTTGATGTCTGAAAGAACTCCTTGGATTATGGAAATCTGCAATCATCAACAGAAATGTACTTATTATAGCATGATACTCTGTAGCATAATTCAAAGCACTAAACATTTAAAAAATGAATTCAGGTCAGGTTATGTGTGAGTAACTGATCTGAAATTCAGCTTGGTTTCACCCACTAGATTCTACACAGATTCCTGTTTGAACACTGTTGACAGATATGGTAGAGAGTTGAAATTGGTTATGTTTAGTGACTCTGTAAACAGCCATAGACATAAGTACAGTAGCCCACATACCGCCTCCTCTAGGCTCTGTACATCAGGGTGATCCTGGGGAGTGTGCTTTAGGATCTCTTTCAGGAGAAGAGGGTACTTGACAAGCCGGCTGCGGGGGATGTCCAGGAAACTCCAGAGATCCAGCTTGCGGCTGAAAGGAGACTCCAGGCAGCGCTGCAGGAAGTCCTGTACTCGACGGTCCTGCTTCTTCTGGTCCAAAAGGGCCTTTGCTGCCAGCTGGTTGCTGCAGTAGTCTTTGTAGGCATTGAGCCCTGGCAACTGCAGATTCAATAAGAATGCAGAGCTCAGTCAACCAACTGCAAGAAACAGAATAAAACACAGAAACTCTCGAGTCAGACAAACATAATACCCACCCAGTTCACAACAATGTGACCAATTTGTCCCACTGTTCCATCTGGACCTTTTGCTCTTGCAAGCTGTGCATGTAGATCTGAAAGAAAGAAGAATGATTTAATATATACATTTAAATTTAAGTGTATGTACCACATATAAGGTCAACTTTTATCTTACTTTATTGTTACTTATTTTTGCTTTTTTCCCCCTGGAGATTACACGTAGTCCAACATTTTATACACTGAATATCAAAAGAAAAAATAAATAAAGGAGTTTTAAAGGCCTCACCTTCATGCAGTGGTATGTATGAATCCAGATCTCCAAAGATATGCGTCAACTCCTCTTCTGACATAATGGACAGCTTCAGCATAGGATCATGGTATGCCTAAAAAATAAATTTAAAAATCAATCACTTCTTTTTTTATATGGAAGAACACTGATCTGAAAAGGACTGTATGACATTTGCCATTCATGTCTATGATTTGTTTTCCTTTTGAAAAGATACAGCTGAAAATATGTGCAGTGAAGACAGCCAAGATCTGATTTAGTCTGTTTGTGTAACATGTATTGTGATGACAGTAAATTATTTTTGAGTCAGACAAATAACTGACCTTTCGGGCTAGGTTGAGGTCTTCGATCAAATCTTGTTCCCCTCGAGACAGTTCAAATATAGCCTGAGAAGAAAAAGGAAAACCGATTTAAGTCCAACAAAATTCAATCAAATTACATACTGTATCAGATATAACATATATCATGTGATGCACTGTGCTCAAAATACATTTGTTAGCAATTATCTCAATTGCATAAGTGATCTCATAGACTTAATACTCTAACAGAATTCTTTACATGAACTTTGAAATTTGAACTTGGAGTTCTGACTGCACGCTTTCGAAACAGACTTTTCAGACAGAACTGTTTGATAGTTGGTTGTAACAGTACGGTGTACTGGCTGGCTCAGATGACAAATGCACAAGGTGGACTCCGAGGAATAGTGGACAGTTTTATCATGAGCAATAGTACTGCCACAGACAAAGCATGCTCTCTCTTAATTTTTCACTATCAGGGGCGATTCCACTCCTTGCATTTTAGCTGTTGTTCAGCACAAAACGCATTCAGGTGCGCGAAAAACTCATCCTAATCTGCACGCTTATTCTCCACCCCAGACGAAGCTAACTCCAGCCATGGGCAAGCATGTCCGTGTACGGAGAAGTTGCCGACCCCTGCCAACGCACTCCCTGAGGGGTAAGTAAGGGGAAAAAGTACAGAGTGTGCCAAGTCTGTAATAGCTGAGAATGTCTGGATCAGCTCAAACATTGGAAGACTATCAGCAAAATTGAGTCAACCATTTTCACATACATCACACGACAAGCACGCCGCGGGTCTGGCCAGGGAAATGGCAGCTTATGCCACTTTACATAAATAAGCTTGTTTAAGTCCAAATGAAATCACTCAATAAGCGAGCTTTTCTCATGCTCTTCGCAAATCCAAACACACAGACCTCTTGTCTCTTGATTTCCTTGGCAGAAAACGTTCCTTTCTTGTTCACATCCAACGTCTCTGACCAAAGCGTACTGTTCCGCCTCTTCGGGGGTGTAGGGGCGGCAGCTTTACTGCAGGACTTCTGGGAGGCACTGGGGGATTTGCCATCACCTCGGAAAGAGATGGACTGTGGAGGAAATAAAAGCCAGTTCAGATTCACCTGCCATCACAGCAAGGGTGTACTCTTTCCTATCACGTCCCTTTCAAACTGGAAGTGACATTTCACAATCTTTATCCAGTGGCTCTGCATAATAAATCAAAAACACAGCTTTGTCATCATTGCTATCAACATCATTGATAATAGTACACACTGTTAAAGTCTATAAAAGCGGGTCATTTTTTACCTGGATAGTTTGTCCGAAGCGCCTGACTGCACCATTTCTCACCGGAGAGATTAAATTAGCTAGCGAAGTCACCCTGCCAAGAGGTCTAACCCGCTTGTTACTTGGTTCCTGAAAAACAAGCAAAAAATCAGAATTAATCCAGGTTTGTAGAAATCCTCAGTGAGATAAATCACCAACACCTCACCAATCCTTCTCTCAAACCAGAGAAGAATCATTTTTTTTTAATCTGACAGTCAGTACAATTTCTGGGACAGTAATCTAAAGAAAAAGGTACAAGATACTGGGTACATTTCAGAAGCTTTGCTATGGCATTTTCTGGCTGGTAATACTATACTAATGCTCCTCCCGAAAAGGTCAGGAAATTGCCCTAGTCAACAGCTGTTTTTTAACATGTGATGATCCCATGGTTCTTATCTGTTTACAATGGCCTACACTTACTTCTAGGAGGGTAAAAAGGCTTGGAGGCATTTGTGGTATGTATCTGGTTCTAGTCTCAGCTGCCATACCCAGGGTGGTAAAAAAACCCTTAGCAAATGGTCTTTGATTACTATGAATGGAGAATTGTTTTTGCTTTTCGGCAACTTGCATACAAAATGACCATTGAAAAGAAATTCTGCCTTGTATAATGTGTACTATTCACTTCACAAAAAGTAGACCAATCGGTGCAATACTTTTACATTAGTTTAATAACACTGTACTCAGGGACCTGTTTTTATTCTTCCATTCTTCAATAAACAGGCAGAAAAGTTGGTTAAATGATTGTAGTACCATTACACTTAAAAGGAGATCACAGCCTGTATAAGTTAAAACATGTAACATCCTCATCCTTAATCACTTAATCACTAGTTGATTAAAAATTCAAAGTATTGGGTTAAATGGGATCATAGACTAAATTGTGGTTTAATATACAATCATCACGTTTTTTACACTACAAATCAGATTTAATTGTGAGTGGTTTACAAGTAGGTTGGTACTAATCCACATTTATAGAGAAGCAGTACAGTGGGAGAGGTTCTTTCATGTCGGAACAGGCAGACAGACTTGCGTGTGAGGGGGAAGAGAACCTGAATGAATACAACAGCAGCTGCAGAACCCCCCTTTGCAGCCAAGACTACCCAACAGGTTAAGACAAAGCAAAGCTTTTTTTCATTTGCTATGCATTCCCTTCCCTCTGAGAGTCATATACTGTGAGAAAAGAGAATGTACTGGCCAATGACAGGAACCACAGCAAAATAAATGTAATAGAGATAAAGTTTGTCTAAGTCTGAACTGGACCTAAATAAGACTTAAACATACGCATAATAAAAATTAAAAACTTTAAATGATACACAGCAATTTTGCTGAAAACTTTGCACCTTTTTCACTTCAAGAGTAAAGCCACTAATTTTGTAACTTTTTTCCTGTAAAAAGTAATTTGTGATTTTCTACGAGAATTTAGCCTATGAATTTCTATATTTCTCTTAAGCATTGATATTCATTTGCGCCTTCCGAAAAAACCCCCCATTAGATTACTAATTGTTTGAAGTAGAAATTAGTATGGTACACAGAAGACCTTTTTTGTAGTGCTTTTCTGTTTGACAAGCTAAGCAGTATAGAAAGTCTATACAGACCCATTCTAGGACAGAGAGCTACAGAAAAATGCTACTGGCAATGAAACATTTCTGTGATGTAGTTGGCATTAATATTTTCCATATGTCGGCTAAAGACAACCAATCATTTTCAAACAATGTGCTTCATAAAGTTCATTCCATGATTTTAATAAGTGTTAGTAACTTGATACATATTCCTTACTTATTCTTATATTAACATTAACACCAGAACAGTACAAAAAAGTGGCAGATGATATTTAGAATCAAAAACTTTGGAGGTAGCCCAAAGAAAACCATGGAAACATTTGACACTTCAAATACGTTTCCTATGTGTGGAAGACCCTGAAAAAACATTATAAAGAGAAACAATAATATGTTTCTATTTCAGGTAGTGGTTTGATTGCAGTTCTAGATTGTGCACTCTTGAGGATAAAAGATTTTGCTTAATACAGGAAACCACCCAGATCCGGCAAATGACAAGATTCTTTGATAAATGTTTAGTGTGGCCTGTCTAGAGTTCTATTCCCCGAGGCATAACCACCCCCTTTTTTATTCCTCTACTTCACAATGTAGCGTGGCTGCCAGCTACAGTCTGTGACCCTAACATACACAGGACAACCTTATATTTAAATTATATTTAATTTTATGAGCATTTGGCATGGTATGTACTCCAATAACCTATATCAAACTAAAAACAACAAAAAATGTATTATAACCACAAAAAATCCAATTTCCACTTAAAGTTCAAATTGATTAGAACCCAACCTCTATAATGTTGTGTTTTATTTAGCTTTTTAACCACACTAAATCTTAATCAACCCATAGCAGAGAACAGGAAAACCTTCAAAACCTCGTATTGCCAACACAAATACATGAAAAGAATTCAGTGGTCAACATTTTATTCAGAAGAAAAAGTATCCAAGAATCCTTTGGTCAGCTAAGGTACCAGACTAGAACAAGAGGATTTACCAAATGTTCTTGATGTCTGTCAGTGCATGCTTTAAACCAACAAGCTTTACAAAACCATGCACAAAAAATGTATTAGGTAATTCATATTTGATCTCCAAGCTCATTTAGCTATTCCTGCTTGAACTATCGCTCATCACAGAAAAAGTCATTTCCCATCTCACACACACCAAAGAAAACCACAGAAAGTCTCGATAAGGAAGGAAATTGGAACTAAAGCAGAACAGATTCTGATAGTAATAACCCAAATGCAAATGTACAAATTTGAAGCCTATTTTTTTAATGCTTCAGAGAATAAAAATTCTTCACCTTTGTGCAAAATAACACTAACTTATTCAGCCCCTCTTGGCTTAAACTGTGCTTTGATGTCAGGGTGATTGTGTTTGTGCTTTAAAGGTTTCATAGGTCTTAATGTGATGTCATCTGTCTGGTTTTAAAACAAGTCTACTACAGTAAATGTCTATGACTTGACTAGAGTGTATAACTTCAATATAATGGTCATTCTGAACATTTGACGTTTTTAACAAACTTAAGCAGTACTTTATATTTAAAAACTGTATGTTACCAAAAATTCCAAAACCATCCACACAGCACTTACAAAATAAGATAGCAGAAATGCTAAACCATAAAACTAATCAAGGTTTGATCTTGAGGTCACGGTCTAATTTACCATAAGCAGATCTTGAAATGGAGTCAGAATCCATTTTCTCATTTAAGAACAGAAGGCATTCAAATGTTTGAAACAGCCAAGAATGAATAAATATAAATATGACTTGAGAACTAATATGCAAAAAAAGGACTGATTTAACATGATCTTAGGAACAGTAGCACCTGTTCTTTATTTACCAACATCTTTTCTTACCTCGGATTCTTTGTTGAACTGATTCTGGATATCTAGGACTTGAAGAGTCCTTTTGATAGGCACTATACTCCCAATTTCATCATAAGCCACCATGCTTTGTTGACTCCTACAGGTAATTCCACATGAAAAATTCACTTTAAAATATAATCCAAGTAAAAAAAATCCTCCTTCTTTCTTCAGTCTACTGTGTGACCTCCCTGCTCACTAAGTTTCCCTGTCTAGTCTATTTCCCTGTTGGAGGGAGAGTGAACTTTAGTCAAGGTAGGAGGAGCAAAGCCAGAGGTACAACCTTCTCCTGGGATCCTTTGTCAGCCAACAGGGGCTGTGTCATGTTAAAGGGGTGGAGAAACAACTTTGACTCAAACTATAAATACAACCCTGTACTGTAGCGCTAGTCTTGTTTCATACTCTTAATTCTGCTTAATGCTAAATTTGATTGTTTTTAATGTTAAGCAATATTTTGTTACAAAACCTGTAAACAAATATACACAAATCAATGTCTATGCCTTTCAATAAGTTTACCCACGTAAGAAATGCAAATACAAGATTGGTTAAAAAGATTAATCAATTAATACAAAGTTGCTTGTTCGATCAACACAAGACAGGACTGAGAGCACAAAGGTATACTTGCCCTGGATGGGGCATCAGCCTCTGCTGGCACATGGAGACAGGTACGATTTAGACAGTTCAGTAGGTAGCTGTGTCAGCATGCATAGGCTGCAAAGGAACAAATAAGAAGACTCCACAGCCGAAACATTGGGTTTCTTTTCTTCTTTTTTCAGCATGTTCCTTTACAATTTAGACAGCGTGTCTTTGGGGGGGTGAGAGAACACCAACAAAAATACAGGAAGGACATGCCCCAGCCTGGATTCAAACCCAGGTCCCAAGTGCTGATTCAACTGTCTCACCAATTGACTAAAATGACCAATTAAACAAGCAGCTCGCTCTCATTACTACTTTGATATTATAAGAAAATAAGTATTAAAAGATAAAAACCAACAGTTGCTCTACAGTGATTGCCGAGAAAGGACAAACTATCTGCACTCAATTATACTAGTATTTCTTCATCCACCATCTTTAAACAAGTACTTTACAGTCCAAAAATACGAATGCATAGTCAAAAGGTAAGTGTGAACACCTAGGGATTTGTACTAAAGAGTCATTTACACAAGTGTAACAAAGGAGACAGTACTGTAAAATTCACATTAGAATTCAAATGAAACATTTTCTGTAATCTGATGACAATTTGGAGTGGCGTTTAGGACTCTGGACTCCTAGCCTGAGGGTTGAGAGTTCAAATCCCAGGGGAGTTGAGAAACGCAGTACAAGGTAAAGAGTTTTACTCCGTTTGCAGTAAACCGAGCTGTAAAAATGGGTACGACACATTTTACTCAAAAAGGCACTCAATCTCTGTATGTCTCTTTAGATATTATTGGAATGTTTAAAAAAGGTACAGTATTGCTTTATTGCAGTATTGCTGCCAAGGAAATTATGCAGAGTTTGTCTTTTATTTCAACAAATTAATTGTTGAGAAAGGTGTGCAATGATACCTGGATAATCCTGATCGCCCTGTTTTTGGCAAAGTTTCTGTTGAGGGGGAGGGGTATTTTACAAGAAAGTGACCTACATTTTCACAGGTTTGCACAAAGAGTTTACACACTGGTATGAGCTATAGTATTGCTTATACTAGA